AAATGCTGCATGAGAAGGAATTATTTTAAGAGAACTTCTGGTTTATATTATCCAGAGTATCTCAATGGAATAGCTTTGTATTAATAATATCTCATCTATTATGTATATTGCAATATGCCTAACACAATTGCTGAAGTAATTAGATGCTGCTAATTTTTCTCTTTCTTTTTCTTCCCTTTTCTGTGGAGGTAAAGAGATTAGGAGAGTAATTTAGAGCAAAGTATATATTGCACTACAGACTTCTCACAGATTAGCAGCATCAACCGTTGTGTTTCTCGTTTTTCTACTTCCACCTAAAAATCTATGCTGCTCTTGAGCTCTTCTTCTATTCTGTCTCCATTTTAATGCCCACTGACTGCACTGTATCATAACATCATTGCATTATTTATTTTTGATTATTTAATATTTCACTAGAATTTTATTCTTCAACTTTAATATAGTCCTATTTTAAAGGTGCAAAATAAGGAAGTTAGGGAATGAAGAAGTAGCTGAATATTGAATTTTTAGTCTGAAAGTTCTGAATTAATCTGGTTTAAAGAGTCCTGACTTATCCTGTCTATAACACACTGACCAATTTTTGAGATGCCTTTTTTTCTGACAGATATTGCATAAAGCTTGATCATTAATAATTATTTTAAACCTTTTGTAAGTGTTTGAAAAGTCACTGGGAAAAATGCAGAGGATTTAGAATTAAATCTGTGAGGCTTCAGCTGGTTTGGATTCCCCCCCCCCCCCCCCCCCCCCCCCCCCCCCCCTCACTGTGCCTCCATAAAAGATTCCCTCTGTTAAGTCATCACTAAAGCAATCGTGTACTACTTAACCGAGGTGCTATTTTCTACTTCATGTGTCTCCCTATGAATTGTGCAAGAGGCATTAGAGAGCCCTGTCTTCCACCAAACACATAAAAAGGCATAGCAGAAGAAGCTTTACAGATTTATTAAATTCTCTATGCATTGCCTTTCTGGGAGGGAGGGAGAAAATTGGCAGCAGGTCATGCTGCGGAGCAGAGACTGCAAGGACGCAGGAAAATCTTTGCGAACCCCCAAAGATTTTGAATAGCTCCGTACAGCAGTCCTCATTATCATGAACATATTTTTCAGGCATTACTTAAAGGTAACGTTAGACAAACGCCACAATGTCTGATTCCCCTTCCTCCCCTCCATCCTTACGTCCACAATTTCCAGACTGAGGGAAGAATGGCAGGGAGCAAAGCTTAGGGATGCTCTGGGAGGAGGCAGGTCCCAAACATCTTTCCAGATGGCAACTCCCAACGCACCTCCCGCCCCCAGCCATGGGCTTCCTATGGCATGATGGCAATCCCATTGGGAAGAGGTGTGACTTTTCACCTCCGGCAGGCAACATCGTTCTCCTGCTGAGGAGCTTATTTCCAGAGGAGTCCTATGGCACCAGCAGCCCCACTGCAGAGGGGCAGGGAGTGATCAGAAGTGGGCAGAAATGAAACAAAATGCTTTTTGTCACTTGCTGCCGGGTAGGTGACGTTAACTTCTTCCACATTTTCTAGTGCTTGATCCGTGTACCGGATCTCTACAAACAGCAGTCTATGTTTAGGCAACTGGATCAAGCCACATGTCTGTCATTCCTCAAATCTTGTGTGCCACGAGGACCACAGCAGCCGAGGAAGCGTTAGTGCAGCGGCAAAAAGCGTATTTCCAAGAAAAAGTTTCTGTGTTATTTTCCCATGTGCAAACAGCAAGCCACATGGTGTCGATGTAGACTAATTTTAGCTTGCTTGGAGGAAAAAAGCAAAATAAACAAAGAAACTATAAGGGAAAATAGAGTCTCATTGAGAAAGTTGTGTATATCATGTTTTGAAGGATCCTCCATCTTCAATTGTCATGGAGTTCAGCATCTCTCTCTCCAATTTCAAACAAAATTGAATCTTAACTGTTGCTGAGCTGTGTATGTGAGGCACCGTGGGTTGTTTTTCCACATGCGACTGCAGCTTTACGGATTTCTCTGTTGGGCCTGGCCCTCTGAAGGGCAGGCGTAATTGGGGGACTGCTCTGCTGAAATGCTGTGCTCTGCTTCAAGATTGTTTTCATCTGGGGCAAAAATTCAACCACTGACATTATTAGGCTAAGCAACATAAGGCCTAAGTACTAATCTGAGGTTTCTTAGTCAGTTCTTGACTTCTCAGACCTTCACTGTTTTGCCATCTGCTATAATTGAAAATTGCCTTCTGCAACCAAAGGGAAAATCTAATTTCTCAGCAAGCCATATGGGGTTATTAAGATCATTAAACCCTGGTACGCCATAATGCCTGGGCCAAAAGGACCACAGGGCATGTAAATATTGTGTGATTCATTTTATAGCGTCAGACTGCAAGTTAGGAATTATTTTGATGGCTATCTTATGATGAAAAGTGGTGGTCAAGTAGGTTACTGCAAATGTTGCTTGGTGAGGTCAGTCCATGGCACGTTTGTTCAGAGCTGTGACAGATGAGAAGTGGTTTTAATAGTGTTTGATTGCAAAAGGTAAATCTTTTGATCAGCCTGACAAATGATCAGAACCCAGCCAGTGTCCTCAGTTGTGCCAGTGACGCTAAAGGCAGCCTTAAATTTTCATTTTAAGAAACCAGAGAATACAATTTCCACCTTTCAAGAGGACCCAGACTTGGCTTCTCATACAGGATCTAAAGCTGGTGATATAAATTGTACTCCCTTTCCTTTTATAAAAATGGGAGTGCTATTCCCCTTAAGGTGCCTGTTCTTGAACGCTTTAAAACCGAGCTGCTGGAATTTTTCTCTATTTTCTTTATTTCTCTAGTTGTGGCATTTCGTAAGATTTCTTCCTAGCAAAACCCACTGCTATATATCTGATACAACTATGTGTGAGAATATTAAAGCTGATTTTTGGTTAATACGGCTTCAGAAATGAATGCAGGAGCTGTGAAATTTACATGAAATTAAAGAAAGAATAGTTCAGTAAATGCAAATAAATGCAGAAACGAATATTTTAATTTGGATTCATGATTAATGCCAAAGGATTACCAGCAAACCATTACAACGTGGTGATAAAAACTCAGTGGGAATAAAAATTCTATATGCACTAGTTAACTGATGGCAGTAAGCTATTTTTAGTAGGAGAGCTTGGAGAAATTTATTTGTTCTTTTTGAAAAATACAGCTATTGATTATATTTCAAGTTTTGTCTTTGTTAATTATGCCTCAGAATATTTTTTTACTGGTATACTATTGTATCTGTTCCTGCATTTTACAATGTGACAACCATGGTCAGTAGACGTATTCCTATTCTGCAAGTTATTAAATGAATTATATTGAAAATAGGCATTACTAATTGCCACTTTTCTCTGTGCTATGTAACTAAAGGAATTAAGAACAAATTGTTATAATTATATATGAAGGAAGAGTGAGGATTTTTTCTCTACTTCAGTTTTCCAGTGTTCTCAATCTAACTGCATTTATATCCTCTGTAGGTCGTGGGTTTCTATAGGTCATGGCTTCTGTTTCAAGACAATTGAAACCAAAGCATGTCTGAATAGGCTTTAGTTTCTGTAGCACTGGAGTCAATACATCTTACTATTTTGAAATTAAGATAATTTAATGGAGGTAAAAAAAAGTATCTCTTGTTCTAGTTATATTTATACTGTCCAAATAGCTTCCTTATTCTAGTGTTCTTGGAAATCACAGTTAGAATAAGAGAGCGATCATTACCATTTTTCTAAAAGTTGGGAATCCAGTCAAACTTTATACACTTTTTTTCTTTTCTGACATGGTCTTTGAGAAGCCATGAAAAAATGTGGTTGGTTTTTAGTTTGCATGAGGAGTGCATTTTATTTTTGGTGGTTGTTGTTGTGGTTTTGGGTTTTTTTTTTTTTTTTTAAATTTTTATTTTTAATGGGAATCTTACAGTCTTCCCCACTTCCTATGCTTTGGCTCACCTAACAGAATACTCGACCTGAAAGGAATACAGTTTGTGTGCCTGCTAGATGTGCCTTGGGAGAGCACCTACTGTTCTCTAACCTCTTATGGGCATTCAGGCCCCCAACCCAGGTGGTACTTGGAACTAGTCTGAAGGACGCACCCCCACAATGTGGACAGGCTCCAGGTAGCCATAGCTTGACAGACAAAAAGTGCTTGGGAAAGGGGTGGGGATGAGTGGGGACAGGAGATGAAGACTTTGTCATTAAGTCAGGATTCTCAGACTTCCCGTGACTTTGCATGTAGCTAACGGAACCTGCTGCCATGATGGCGTCGCTTTTCTATACCAACGCATTATTCTTCACCGCCGTCTCTTGTGCGTTAGGCTCGTGCATTGTGGTTGTAGGAAAAAATCCTCACCCTGCACTAATTGCAGTGTCCGTCCTAATACATCTCATACAAGGGAAAAAATAAACAGAGACCTCAGTAATGAAGTGCTGCTGGCAGGACATGCACACGCTTAACAGAAACTATCGTTACGCCTGAATGTTAATTAAAGGCAGCACAAACCCAGCAAAATCCTAACTCATCTGAAACTAATGGGAATTTCATCGCCACCATGTGCAAGTTTTGTTTCTGGTTTCTTTATGCATTGCTGGTGGTGCTGTTCTTTGATGTGGATCACAAGTGAGCCCATGAGGAATTATGTAATGAAAATGATTTGAAGCCATCCCTGACCTAATCTGGCTTGAAAAAGATCAAGAACTCGTAATATCATTACTGTCATATAAGACTGAGCATGTTTATATTTGTCTAGCTTCAATCTTAAGGGTGCCCTGAACTCTGTATGTGACTCACCTGCATATCCTTACCTACTGCGTTATCAAAGCAGTAAATATTTACATGGCTATTGTGGCTTCATGTCTCAAATTGTGAGAATTAGTCCAATCTAAACATCAGTGCCATATGTAAGTTGTGTTTTATTGATTCCTCTTTCCTCATTATTAGACTGATTCTTCCTGCACAGGATTTTTTCATAGACTTTGTTTAATTTTTTATTTCAGTCTTAGCAGTGTATCTAATCGATATTTATTTTTACCTGTGTGAATGATTCAGAGCATCATCAGGCTTCATCAGTTTTAAGTAGCAGGTTACAAGCTTTGTCTCAATAAAACTGGCGATACTGGAAATATCTTCTGGAGATGACTCAAAGGGTTTCTCTATAGCAACACCTTTACTGCAAAGCTGTACAAGAAGCAAAAATGTTATTTACTAATGTTATACACACCTTTTGTTAGGTAGAAATGCTTTTTGTAACTGACAAATGGAGAAAACTGGCTTCTAAGTAAAATATACCCCGACTTTAACAAGAGTTAACACTACAAAAATCAGTACAAATACATGTGAACATAATATAAAATGCAATGTCATCTTCCAGGAAGGGATAGTCAAGAGAGCAGATAATAAGCTAAAAACTAAAAACCACTCTTAGGAAAGAAACTATATTTTCTCCCATTTTCAGAAACGAAGGCTCAACTTCAGGCTCCCAAAATCTGTGGCTGTCTTGAGATCAGGGTCGAAGGAGGAGTCTCAGGCAGCTATTTACTTATTTCAGTAAGCCAGCGGTGAACTCTGCCTTAGGCTCTGCTGCCTTTGTCCCACGGCTGGGGCAGCAGAGTGTGATGCAAAGCAAGGAAACCAGAAACTCCCCCCCTCATTTAATGGGAGGACTTGTCCTTCCAGAAAACTGCTATAGAAAGTAAAAACAAAGAGATGAACTATCTTTCCCATCTTCTTGAGCCATATAGAATTTAGCAGAGAGAAATATCATATTTTCTGTTTAAAAAAATACTCTTTTCCTGATAGATAAATCGCCTGCTGTTCATCACAGCCGGTGACTTTCTCATTAAATAATGTTCTATTTCATAATATGCATTGTTGGAATTAGATAACCCACAACTCCTTAAAGTTTTGGGGAGTCCTCCGCGCTGGACAGTACTGGGCAGGACCACCTTCGGTCCTCAAATCTTTTGTTTCATTAATCTACAGGCAAGCTGATTTTGTAATGCTGAAGAGTAGTAAAAATTAGCTTTTAGTTCTTAAGAAAATTCCACTGTAAGCAATTAGATACAACTATAAACAAATAGATTAAGTCTAAGAGCTTTGTCTTTAAGGACAATAACCGTATAGCGCTACTAATGAAAATGCAATTGAATGTCCTTTGCTTGGATAAACATCCCTAACAGGATTGTTTAGTGTGCAATGATTTCATCTGACTAAGTGACTTCACTGCAAATCAGCTTTAAAAGTAGATTTCTAATGAAGATTAACAAATTAATATTTATCTAGGCTGTGTGCTTAAACTCTTGGCTCACACCGAGACCAGTGCTGAGGATCCTTACGGCACTGATATGCAGCTGCAGCCTAACGTGGATGAACGCAGCCTCTGCTTTAAATGGGGTATAACCAAGGGACTCTCGCTTGAGCCCAGTTTCGCCAGTCATCCAAGCTGTAAAATAGGAGGAGGAGGATCTGGCCCGTTTGTCTAGCTCCTCATCACTACTGAGTTTAGTTATAATAATTAGTTTCTTGCGCCTATGTAGTTAAAATCCAGTGGTTGATTTTTAGGAGGTGCAATGTCAACTCAGCAGTTTGAGATGTCTTTAGAAGATTAAATCCGTCAAGAAAAAAAGCGGTTCTATATACGCATCTTTCTTCCCGCATGTGATCCTTAAAAGCAAGAAGGATTATAGACCCACGTCTGCCCTTAGCACCTACAAAGCTAATCCTACCTTTAAGATTTTTGTGCATTGGTTGGAGATCAGCTCAATTCTTTAAAGGCAACAAGGGTCATTCAAGGAAGTGTCCCCTAGTTCACGTGTGATAAATATTTTTTTCTTTCACATCCCTTCTCTGAGAGCGAAGTTACACGGTGTATATTATAACACCCATACATTTAAGATTTTCTATCATCTTGTTATCAGTAGAAGTTATAAATCAGCGAAGTCATCAGTTTTAACTTTGCTCATGGTACCGTATATATCTGCTGAAGTGTCTCTATGGATAAGACATGCTATACGTAGCTAAAAGACCCAGAGAATTATGTTCACATCAGTGAACATAAAAGTATCATCAAGTTTTTCTGTAATAACACTTTTCAGCTGAATTGGCCATGCTGTGACCTCTGTTAAATTTATGGGAATGAGAGACTTGAGGCTACTCCCTGGACTTCCAAGTTCTTGAATGATTGTGGGAAGAAAAGAATCATTTAGGTATCCCTTCAGTATAAAGTGCCGCAATTCAGAGTTTCCTCAAGTCTTACTGCTGATATGAAGAGTTATGTTTAGACCTGCGTAACCCCTCAGTTATCTTTGACAAAAACCAAGACATGAGTCTCTGTAAAACATATCTGAACAGCTAAGGATTCATAAAATATGTTTAAATACAGTGAATATTGGGTTCTGCCAGGTCTTCTCTGAGACCTCTCAGAGTAAGAGTTCGAAGAAATGAATAATAATTCAATCTTTAATCTCACAAAATCAGGGTAATATTTTTACAGGGATGTGCCTGTGTTTGGGCCCATCTAGGCTGTATACTTTTTACGTCCCAAACTCTCTCCTGATTTTTCTGTAGGATTTCTGCAGTGGACCAATGCATTTGAGATAGACCCCCTCCACACTAGTTCCGTACAAACAACAGCAACAAGCAGCAAAAGTAAGATTCAACTTAATTTTACAGAATGGCTCCTTCTGTACTAAGCAGAAAAGTTATGAATATACAAAATAGCCCTAGTGTCTGGTATTAGTGAGATGCACAATTAAATGTACTCACTGGCAAAAAGGTCTTTTTTGGTAGCAATATAGACACCACTGGAAAAGGTTTCTGTTGGTGAACCATCTCAGCGCAGCCCAAAAAGCACATCATCGTTTTCCAAGCTCTGATGGAGATGACACCTTTTGCGTGTGTTTCATCACCCTTTACTGGATTTTGCTGGCCTTTCTGATAAAAGGACTTGGCTATGCAGCAGGAGAAGGACTGTTTCCTTGTGTTGTCCTGTCTGTCACTGAATATTGAGTCTGACTGAGCGTTTTTGGGGGGTGAGGTAAAGACAGTGCCAGAAAGCACCTGAGAAAGCTCATTCAGGGAACTTTCCAGGGGAGGAGTTAGGCAGGAAGGAGACGGCGAGCTGGGATTTTGCAGCACAGATGGGGATGTGGAGAATGTTGTAGAAAGACTCACATCTCGTTTTCAAAGGGGATGAGAAAAAGGAAAATTTCCAAGGGAACCAAAGGAGCCTCTGTAGCTACAGGTTGTTGTAACTTTGGGAAACCCTGCTGGACTGAGAACAAGGGAAGAGGAAAGGCTGTGCCATGCACAGACATAATGAGCAGGGAGGAGATTTGTTTGCAATTTTCATGTTTCACCTCGTAGAACCGAGTTTTCTTTATCTTGCTGTAGTCTGCAGTCCAATAACACTACCTTTGAAGATCAAAAGGGCTGTTGGTGTTTTTGGAGTGCTTTAAGTAAAAGGTAAAAGCAGCTCCATCTCACTCCTCTGAATACCTTAAGGTCTTGTCACAAGGACGTTCAAATATAGATGTGGGCTTGGAGAGGCAGTTACGTTTTGTACCGTTGAGGGTTTCCTTTCCTAGAGCTATGCTACAGAATTTTATTTTAATTCCAAACTGGGAAATCTGGGGGTACATCTTACCTAAGACTTTGGTGAGCTTTTGGCCTGCAGAAATCTTGCCAATATCTTAAATGTTATAGAGGCTATGAAATTGAAGCAAACAACTTAAACATTTCAAGCTTTACAGCCAATCTGGGGTTAAAAACCTGCAATGTACCATTTTATGTCCTTTACCATAGCTAGCAAATCTAACAGTATTTTTCACTTTCAGACTTAGTCTACCTGTGAGTATCCCTGTCAGTAGATAGGAATATTTTTCCAGAAATAATATTTAATTAAAAAATCCTGCCAAAGGATATTTATATTTTCATAGGGGCCCTTGTTACAACTGGAAGCCATCGTGCGGGTTTTGTGTACATGCATCCTTTAGAAGACTGCTGAGTTACCCCACTCAAAGAGTTACCAAGTATATAAATGAAATGTAAGGAATGAAAGTGCTACCTGCAATTTTTGTATTACTGGTGAACTGACACTAATTTTGTTATACATTCACTGATAAAGGACGTTTCTCTTGCAACGTGTAGGACCCTATAAATATGTTGCTGAAACCACAGTCGTATAAATGCTTGTGATAAAGTACTTTGTCAAAGGTCACAGAACAAGTCTGTGACACTGTGAACTTAGCATAGATCTTGTGGTGGTATTAAGGCTTTAATTTTGGCAGTAGCAAGCAAGGAAATCTTATGAGTAAAGACCTCCCAGGCATTAGCTGATAAGAAAGAGAGGAAAAGATGCCCCCAACCCCCACATGACTTTGGTAAAAGACCGGTTGAAATGCTGATCATTAAGATATCTTCCTAGTTAGCATCTGTGTAATTTGGAAGAACAAAATTGGAGCTCTGGTGACCTGTACCTTGGCACGTTGGAACCGTTTTCACTGCAAACAAGGTGAAAGGTTCAGACATAAGAAACTGGCAATAGTAACAGTTTACTTATCACTGCTATAGGTTTGGTATATGTTCAATTCAGGAACACGGTTTGCCTTAAAGAAGAAGGTGCCCAATAGATATCCATCTACGTGTGTGGATATAGATATACATTTGATAGCAAATTTAGCTTGGGAAAACAAGTAAATTTGGTCAAATGGTGTGTGTCAATGAGATTCTTTGGCAACTTCCATGAGATCACTCACGCCTTCCTCTGCCAGTCTGAAAGAGTTAAGGGTTAGTTTGAATACAGCAATAACCTGCTAGCCTTGCTGGAGCCGATTGCTTTGCTTTTTCTCTTTTTTCCTTTTTTTTTTTTTTTTTTTTGTTAGCAGAGGAATGTTTAATCATGCCTCTCCATTTTAAAGACAACTTTGTGGTTTTCCCTGGAGTGATTTTTAGAGTGGCTAATCAGAGGGACAAACCTGAAAAGGCAAGAAATATTTAATTAGTGCCTTTTCTTCTGACTAGCCAACAGTGCTAACCAGATGCCTTCACTTCAGAGCCATCCAAGTAATCAGCCTGGTAACGTCACTGCATTGCACATCAGGCACCTGGCAAGTTGAACACTAACTGCATCCCAGAAAATGTCTGCTAAGGAAGGCTACTTCTGAAAATAACTTTCAAAA